CAAGCCACGGAGCCCAGCCACCTGCTGCTGCACCAAGCACAGCGCCGGGCCGGGGGCGCCTGCCGGGGCAGCAGGGGTGTCCGGGCAGTGGGAGGTGCCAGGAGAGGAGCCTGGTGGGCAGGCGGCTGCTTCGGGGGGTGATTAGAGCGGGTGGAAGGTCCTGTGTGCGCATGTATGGCACTATGGCTTCCCGCCCAGGGGAAGTGCTCCTAGAAGTGTGTGTTTGTGTGATGGGGTAGGGAATTGTGTGTGTGTATGTGGCATGGTGCACAGTGTAGGGACCCGTGTGAGTGTGTGCACAGTGTGGTGCACTGGGTGGGACTTGTGAGTGTGCACGCAACATGATGCAGAGTGTAGGGACTCATGTGAATGTACGCATGGCATGGTGCAGTGTAGGGACTCGTGTGAGTGCGCGTGGCGCGGTGCACAGTATAGAGGCTCATGTAAGTATGCATGCAGCGTGGTGCACAGTGTAGAGACTCGTGAGTGTGAGTGTGCATGGTGCGGTGCACAGTGTAGAGACTCATGTAAGTATGCATGCAGCGCGGTGCACAGTGTAGAGACTCGTGAGTGTGAGTGTGCATGGTGCGGTGCACAGTGTAAAGACTTGTGTGAGTGTGAGTGTGCATGGTGCGGTGCACAGTGTAAAGACTCGTGTGAGTGTACATGTGGCGCGGTGCACAGTGTAGAGACTTGCGTGAGTGTGCATGCGGCGCAGTACACAGTGTAGAGACTCATGTGAGTGTGAATGGCACGGTGCACAGTGTAGAGACTCGTGTGAGTGGTGCACAGTGTAGAGACTTGTGTGAGTGTGCGTGGTGCAGTGCACAGTGTAGAGACTCGTGTGAGTGGTGCACAGTGTAGAGACTTGTGTGAGTGTGCGTGGTGCAGTGCACAGTGTAGAGACTCGTGTGAGTGGTGCACAGTGTAGAGACTTGTGTGAGTGTGCGTGGTGCAGTGCACAGTGTAGAGACTCGTGTGAGTGTGAATGGTGCAGTGCACAGTGGGCAGACTCTAGTGAGTGTGAATGGCTCAGTGCACAGTGGGCAGACTCGTGTGAGTGTGAGTATGCATGGCGCGGTGCACAGTGTAGAGACGAGTGTGAGTGTGCATGGTGCAGTGCAGTGTGTAGAATCGTGTGAGTGTGCATGGCACGGTGCACAGTGTGGAGACTCGTGTGAGTGCGAATGGCGCAGTGCACAGTGTGGAGACTTGTGTGAGTGCGAATGGCGCAGTGCACAGTGTGGAGACTCGTGTGAGTGCGAATGGCGCAGTGCACAGTGTGGAGACTTGTGTGAGTGCGAATGGCGCAGTGCACAGTGTGGAGACTCGTGTGAGTGCGAATGGCGCAGTGCACAGTGTGGAGACTTGTGTGAGTGCGAATGGCGCAGTGCACAGTGTGGAGACTCGTGTGAGTGCGAATGGCGCAGTGCACAGTGTGGAGACTTGTGTGAGTGCGAATGGCGCAGTGCACAGTGTGGAGACTCGTGTGAGTGCGAATGGCGCAGTGCACAGTGTGGAGACTTGTGTGAGTGCGAATGGCGCAGTGCACAGTGTGGAGACTCGTGTGAGTGCGAATGGCGCAGTGCACAGTGTGGAGACTTGTGTGAGTGCGAATGGCGCAGTGCACAGTGTGGAGACTCGTGTGAGTGCGAATGGCGCAGTGCACAGTGTGGAGACTTGTGTGAGTGCGAATGGCGCAGTGCACAGTGTGGAGACTCGTGTGAGTGCGAATGGCGCAGTGCACAGTGTGGAGACTTGTGTGAGTGCGAATGGCGCAGTGCACAGTGTGGAGACTCGTGTGAGTGTGCATGGCACAGTGCAGTGTAGAGACTCATGTGAGTGTGAATGGCACGGTGCACAGTGTAGAGACTCGTGTGAGTGGTGCACAGTGTAGAGACTTGTGTGAGTGTGCGTGGTGCAGTGCACAGTGTAGAGACTCGTGTGAGTGTGAATGGTGCAGTGCACAGTGGGCAGACTCTAGTGAGTGTGAATGGCTCAGTGCACAGTGGGCAGACTCGTGTGAGTGTGAGTATGCATGGCGCGGTGCACAGTGTAGAGACGAGTGTGAGTGTGCATGGTGCAGTGCAGTGTGTAGAATCGTGTGAGTGTGCATGGCACGGTGCACAGTGTGGAGACTCGTGTGAGTGCGAATGGCGCAGTGCACAGTGTGGAGACTTGTGTGAGTGCGAATGGCGCAGTGCACAGTGTGGAGACTCGTGTGAGTGCGAATGGCGCAGTGCACAGTGTGGAGACTTGTGTGAGTGCGAATGGCGCAGTGCACAGTGTGGAGACTCGTGTGAGTGCGAATGGCGCAGTGCACAGTGTGGAGACTTGTGTGAGTGCGAATGGCGCAGTGCACAGTGTGGAGACTCGTGTGAGTGCGAATGGCGCAGTGCACAGTGTGGAGACTTGTGTGAGTGCGAATGGCGCAGTGCACAGTGTGGAGACTCGTGTGAGTGCGAATGGCGCAGTGCACAGTGTGGAGACTTGTGTGAGTGCGAATGGCGCAGTGCACAGTGTGGAGACTCGTGTGAGTGCGAATGGCGCAGTGCACAGTGTGGAGACTTGTGTGAGTGCGAATGGCGCAGTGCACAGTGTGGAGACTCGTGTGAGTGCGAATGGCGCAGTGCACAGTGTGGAGACTTGTGTGAGTGCGAATGGCGCAGTGCACAGTGTGGAGACTCGTGTGAGTGCGAATGGCGCAGTGCACAGTGTGGAGACTTGTGTGAGTGCGAATGGCGCAGTGCACAGTGTGGAGACTCGTGTGAGTGTGCATGGCACAGTGCAGTGTAGAGACTCATGTGAGTGTGAATGGCACGGTGCACAGTGTAGAGACTCGTGTGAGTGGTGCACAGTGTAGAGACTTGTGTGAGTGTGCGTGGTGCAGTGCACAGTGTAGAGACTCGTGTGAGTGTGAATGGTGCAGTGCACAGTGGGCAGACTCTAGTGAGTGTGAATGGCTCAGTGCACAGTGGGCAGACTCGTGTGAGTGTGAGTATGCATGGCGCGGTGCACAGTGTAGAGACGAGTGTGAGTGTGCATGGTGCAGTGCAGTGTTTAGA